CACACCAACAACAACACCACCAATAATAGTAGCTAGTCTTTGGGCCAAAAATATAAACTAGAATTCCCAAGCATAAAGCAGAAGCACTACTCTTTCAGCTGAAATATTTAGTGATTAATGTCACTAGCCAGAAGCTCACTCAGAAATGGTAGACTGGCTGGCTTTTGTTAATAAGTTCACATTTGAATCTGAACTAATTTTCTTGGACAATTCTTAATTTTTCAATGGCTTTGATGATGTGTGGCAGTGGTGTGAATGCTGACTAAAATTTTTGTTTTGTCAAAGTTGTTAAAGTGTTTGGTATCTATGGAAGAGTCAGTAATAACCACCACACATCAGCCTCTGATGACAAGCATCCATTTCACAGCACCACAAAAGTTACCGGTAAAGGAGCTCCACCCCATGAAGGCCTAACGTCATAGTGGAAGCGACATTCCGGACGTTCTTAACCTCATTATTAGACGGACAAGTAGGGACAGCTTAATAGTACATCTTTACATTCTGAGAGGGACCTAGTGTCAGAGATGAGACTGCATGGGCCCCAGAACCAACATGGATAAACACTCCACACCTGCAGCAAATGAAACTCACTTATTTAATCCACAGTCAGAAAATTTACTGAATTATTTTATCTATCCTTACCCACAGACAATTCTACACATGTGGTATTATATATAGCTGGCAACACAAATTTTTTTTTTTTGTAATTTGTTGTGTTGATAGCCATATAATAATACCACACAGTGGTACACAATAGGATGCATACAATAAAGACAATTCTACACACTTGTTGTGGATGACAGCTGCTAGTGTTCAACAAAACATTAGACACATTCAAACAAGTCACAGAGTAAGAGGTGAAAACCAAGATTATGCATTATACACTAGCCACAAACAAAGATTCTGGTTTTCATAACATCTGCTCACATAACCTGAACTAATGGTGTATATATAACTGCATTCTGGAAACTTTCTCTCATGGACATGCAGAGAACTGACTCTGTAATAGCACATTCAAAATCAGTCATGCAAAGAGTGCTCATTCAAATTCACTTCACTTCAGGTTCAGACAATGTGGCACTGGGGCAGATATTTTTCTAGAGGGCTGTTTGCTTCCTGCAATCATTACTCCTTATCATTGTTCCTTAGTTCATTTAATAAAATTTTATCAACCAAATCAAGTGAATGAATGATGAAGCATTCAAGTAACATCCTATAAAGTTTTCCAGACCTTGAACACACAACTGTGTCAGTCAAGATACTGTTTATTCTTGTCACATAGCAACCTTGGCCTTTGCATCCTAAACCACATAAACATATAACTCTCTTCATATTAGCAATTTTAATGATTATCAGTTTGTACTCTTGACCAATAATTATTATGGGCCCATAGCCAGTAGCTATACTGACTGCACTACCACAGCTACCCCATCTATTAGTAGGGAGCAGCTACAAAGAGTTATGAAACAAGTGACTCAGATATAATTATTCAAGACTGGTTGTATATGGAAACGGCTAAAGCAATGACCAGTGTATACCAATAAATGGAACAAGAAAGAATTGCTTGTAGCACTGAAACTGCAACTCTAACACACACAAAAATATGTCAAAAGGCTTGTGATTCTGGGCAGTATTTGCATACTGGAAATGGGAAATTATAATGGCTCTTGATGCAGAGACTGGCAGAAAGAAGGTCACCCAGCATGGCTGAAAATTAACTGATTCTCTTGTTCAAGAAGCTGAGTATTTTGCACCACTAGTATCAAAGCACACTGTCAGATATTATCTTGAATGAGTTAAACTCGCTACTGATTTCCGCACCTGTTTGCCCACAATCCGCCTATTATCATCTACCTGTCTCCTTCATAGTCTTCTAAGCCAATTTCTTTCAAGAGGATTCCACATCAAAACCCTTCATGATCTTTCTTCACCCAAGTGTCATGTTGTATTATTGTAACTCCTTGATATGACTAAACCAACAACAGTATGAGAGCTATACAAGCCATTAAGTTCCTCTTATGCAATTTCCTCCATAAAAGGTAAAGCTATCCCTGTAAGAGGCCATGGAGGCCCATAGGGTTGTGAGACGTTGAGGGTCCCACATTATCTAGACAATCAGCTGACAGATAGCTGTAAGGTTGTCAGCCTTATGCGCTGGCCGCCCTTTAACCCCCATGAAGATCCCTGGTACTCATATCTGTTAGAAGCTGAGTTGACCCCAGGGACATAGTGCGCTTGAAGGATTAGGTCACTTAAAAAAATCCACTTCTTCAGGACCTGAACCCGTGACCTTCTGGCTTGTAGCATAGTGCCTCAACCAACTATCCTACTGTGTGCCCCAATTTCTTCCATTTCAAACCTAATAAATAAGTCTCAGAACCAGATATTTTCCTTAGCGCAGCAAACAATGCACATGCATCAAAAAGGAACAAAGAAAGGAAAGAGAGGAGGGAAGGACGAAAAAGAGGAAGTATGATACAAAACAGAAAAGGAAAGTAGAGAAGGCAGGAAAAGAAAGAAAGTGGGGAGGAAGAGGAAGATGACAAGGGAAAAAGCAAGTAAAATAGAAAAAGGAATTGCAAAACATGAAGAGATATGTCAGCATGTAACAAACATGCATAAATAAGGCCATGCTTTTCTTACAGAAAATAAATATTTACCTCCTACATCCTCAATCATGGAAATCAAGTCCTTCTTAGGTGGAAATAAATTATTTGTATAATTGTTGTTAATAACATTTTCAGTTTCTTCAAAATGCTTCATTTGTTTACTTAATGCCTTTCCTTGCTCCTTCTCGTCTGTTGAAAACTTAACAGTGTTATTTTCAGAAGATATTACAGTCCCATTAGACTGCAACACTTCCATTTCATTGTCATTACTTGACTCCATCACTTCCTCATCCTCAGAATTCCCAAGATCAATAAGGTCAAATATCTTGTGTTGCTTCTTATTGCTGTTACTTGACCTATTAAAAAAAAACACTTATTAGTAGTCATACTTATTTAATTCACATTAACTTCTTGGTAGCAGAACCAAAAGAATCAATACTGCCGAACCAGTTCCATCCAATTTGCATTCCTGCAGTTCACTTCCTTAATATCCATTTTAGAAATCTAATTTTTCAAGTACCAGTTCTCTTAGACCTTATCTGTTGCCTGGGCCATCGTTGTAACAGCAATTTACATGATTACACAAACTGTAGTTACATTTTTATTATATTTTACTTCTGTAGAGTCTACTCATGCAACATTATACTGTGCCGGTCACGGTAGCCGAGTGGTCTAAGGATGCACTGTCTTCACTCGCTCGGAAGCCGGGATCGTGGGTTAGAATCCCACTCAGGGCATGGATGTTTGTGTGCGTTTTTCTGTGTTTGTGTACAGGTAGAGGCCTTGCGATGAGCTGATCACCCACCCAAGGAGTCCTGCCGCATTTCTAAGCTGTAGTAAACCAAAGTGAAAAGGAGAGTTTCATGGAGGTAGGCCTAGGCCCAAATGAGGGCTGTAGTGCCAATTGGGGGGGGGGCAAAAAAACCATTATACTGTAGCCCAAAATTTGGGTATCTGAGATGAAAGTAAAGAGCCATATTTTAGATTGTGACAGTTCTTTGACTTCATAAGAGGTAGAAAACAAGATCAAGAAGGCATATATTGGGTGCACCTCATATGAATGTGCTTATGTTTATCTGTGGTAATTCTGAAAACTAGAAATGTTCTGACTTTGAAATAACTGAAGACTGACAAACATTTCTTTGGATGTGACATTTGGATATATTATCAGGAGACAGCCAAGAATTTCCTCAAAATTTGGTAGTTTGAATTAGAGGCCACTGAGAATTTAATATTGTTTTCTTCTACCCTGAAGATGGACGCGATACGATCCTCCGAAACATCAGTTAACACAATATCTACACGGTGCCATATACCAGAAGACTGCTTTCTTCAAATTTATTACTTGTTCAGCAAGTTCAGCTCGGCTTTGCGCAACATGTCACAATATGCAAGTTGGATTGAACTGACATCGAGTTATACCATTTACTCTCTGGCAATTACCTTATCCATGAATTCCTTCCAATCCTTTACCTCAATGAATAAAACTGGTAATATTCTAATTACACATACTAATTATTCCTGTATAAATGTATTACCCTTAACCCTGCTATATTACTAAGAATGTGTGCTGTTCTGAGGATGAGACATTTCATAATTACAACATTTTTAACAGTAGAGGGTTGTTACCCAAAACTATTGGACTAAACCCTGTCAGCTCACTTCACATTCACAGAGCTTTGTCCACATCAGAGTGAGGAAAGTGGAAAGAACATGCACATTGGATCTGGCCAGTCTTCAACACAAGGCCAGTGCCTAACTTACGCCATCAATTTCCAAGTTTAGTACATACTATGTGTACATATTTTTTGTGTAACTGAATTCTCGATAAACATAATCTAGATATAAGATCTAAAAGTTTGTGATGATGGTAAATTGCTACCAGTAATATATGTCTTTGGACCCAAGTGAGTTGGTTTTACCTGAGGACGGGGACAGAATCCAGTCTCCGAAACGTTGTGTTTTAAAAAGAAACAGGACGTGTTTTTAAAAACAGACAAGACGATGGATAATGTCCAAAAACATATTACTTGTAATAATCTAGATATTTTACAGCTGACCTCTTTGGTTTCGGAGGATCTGTCAACAGTGGTGCATCAAGCCAAACTCTCAGGTCTGATGGGAAATGGTAACCACAAGGAAGCCAACATAGCCCAACAGGTTCCAGAATATCAAGATATGGCTTCAATTTCCTGTACCACTCACATGCACACAGCACCAGGTACTTTGAAATTGCCCTGTAAACAATAAATGAATTAGAATACCAGGTTAAAGTAAGAAAGATACGATAAGATTTACACACTAATGTTTACCTTACTCACAAATATCTTTGACCTCGATATTGTATTTAAGCATCCTGTTGCATTAATGCATCTTCTGTAAACATATATTTCAGTCTTAATCATTATCAATAAAATCCAGTTCCAACTGCATCTTGCACAAAACATTCATAAGTGACCCTTGAGATGTCATTTGCTTCTCCAACCTGTATTCAGTATTTTGGCTAACATGTACGTTGCCATCAAAACTATGAAGGTCGGCGTGAAGGCCAAGAGCATAAGAATCCAGCCATGAAAGCCTCACAATAGCAACAAAGACTTACCATATCCTACTGACAATTCCTAGGGAGATTAAAGCAACATCCCACATGTGACCCAAATGCAGCCTACACTTCATGTAGAATGCTGCATCCTGGCATAATTGCATCAGCTGGCAGAACAGACGAGCAAAGCCCTGTATCCGTACCAGAACCCACTCCAACATTTGTCTGGATGGTGCACACATTGTGTCATACCCATTATCAGAAGGTGATGGCTTAATTGTATTAAGAACCATAGCCAAGTCCATAGACAGGTAGCAAAGAAGTCCACGATTCACCTGAGAGTACAATTCGTAAAATTATAAATTTTCACATAAAAAGAGCTTTCTTAAGTTCCTAATGACAAATTCATAACACTAGTCTTTGAAAAATCCAGGGAAACCAGGTGGGACTGAAATTAAACAGGACACATCAGCTGTTGGCCCATGCCGATGATGTGAATCTACTGGGTGATAATGTAGATACCACAAAGAAAAACACACAAACTTTAACTGACGCAAGTAAAGAGGTTGGTCTAGAAGTAAATACTGAGAAAACTAAGTATATGATGCTGTCTCATCACCAAAATGCAGGGCAAAATCATGTTATAAAGACAGGAAAGAGATGTTTTGAAAATGTGGCATAGTTCAGATAATTGGGAACAATGATAACACATCAACACCTGATTCAGGAGGAAATTAAGAGGAGATTACTCTTGGGTAATGCTTGCTAACATTCAGCCCAGAACCTTTTGTCTTCTTGTCTGCTGTCCAAAAACATAAAAATTAGAATATACAAAACTATAATTTTGCCTGTGGTTCTGTATGGGTGTGAAACTTGGTCTCTGACATTAAGGGATGAACATAGACTGAGGGCGTTTGAGGACAGGGTGTCGGAAAATATTTGGACCGAAGAGAGATGAAGTGACAGGAGGTTGGAGAAAACTGCATAATGAAGAGCTTCATAACTTGTACTCTTCTCCAAGTATAATTAGAATGATCAAGTCAAGGAGGATGAGGTGGGCAGGTCATGGGGGAGACGTGGAATGCATATAGAATATTGGTGGGAAAGCCAGAAGGAAAGAGACCACTGGGAAGACCAAGGTGTAGGTGGGCGGACAATATTAAAATGGATATTAGAGAGACAGGATGGGATGGTATGGACTGGATTGATCTGGCTCAGGATATGGGCCAGTGAAGGGCTCTTGTGAACATGGTAATGAACTTTCAGGTTCCATAAAATGCTAGTAAATTCTTGAGTAGCTGCAGAATTGGCGGCTCCTCCAGAAGGGTTCAGCTCCATGAGTAAGTAAGTAAGTATTCTTTGAAAAAGTCACCCTAATAAAACCCGATTGACTGGAATTTATGCAATTCATTTCTTATTTTAGACTCTTTCAACCTTTCCAGGGGATCATTTCTATTTACAAAAAAAAAGTTAATAAATTTGACTTAAGTGGTGTGGCAACAAATCAGTCAACTAGTACAAATGTGATGTTGAAAGATATAAGATGTTTATGTACAATGAAGAGTTAACAAATATGGAAGCAGGTAGTAATGAACTGTAAGGACCAACCAAAACACCTCTACCCTCTTACCATTAATACCTACTTTGGCTTCTTTAGCATGAACCCATATGATATTATCTGCCATCAGTGTCTTGTAAGATCTGCATTTCCATACTGACTTCATTCTCAAAAGTCTTTGAAAAAGTTATGTATAATAGATTACTTGAACACTTAAATTCTAACAACATATTAGTCAAAGAGCAATTTGGATTTAGGAAAGACCTAACAACAGAAAAAGCAACCTATGAACTAACTAACAATATTTTAAGTGCTCTCAATGACAGATTAATTGTGGGAGGGATTTTCTGTGATCTAGCAAAAGCTTTCGATTGTGTTAATCATGATATCTTACTATCGAAATTAAATTTCTATGGAATAACTGGCAAAGCTAATGAATGGATCAAATCATACCTCAAAAACAGGTATCAAAGAGTTGAAATAAATAATAAAAACTCCAGTCATAATGCATTTTCAAACTGGGGAATTATAAAGCACGGTGTTCCACAAGGATCAATTTTAGGTCCCTTACTTTTTCTTCTCTACATAAATGATCTATCTAAAACCATCAACAATAAATCTAAACCAATTCTATATGCAGATGACACTAGTATAATATTTAAGAACTCTAAATTTGAAAACTTTAAAAATGACATAAATATTGTATTTGAAGCCTTAAACAGATGGTTCGAAGCCAATTTACTCTCATTAAATTTTGATAAAACCCATTACATATCATTCACAACTAAAAACAACCACCAAATTGATCTGGACATCAGTTATGCCAACAAATTAATCTGTAAAGTACTTGATACAAAATTCCTTGGAATACATGTAGACAGTACACTGTCTTGGAAAATACATATTGAACAAATTATACCTAAATTAAATGCAGCTTGCTATGCGATGAGATCAATTAAGCCTTTTATGTCACAGGAAACATTGAAGATGGTTTACCATGCCTACTTTCATTCTATTATGAACTATGGATTAATATTTTGGGGGAACTCTTCACATAGTGTAATAATTTTTAAAATACAAAAGAATATAATTAGAATCATTACAGGATGTAGAAGTAGAGATTCATGTAGAGAATTATTTAAGAAATTAAAAATTCTACCTCTTCAATCGCAATACATATTATCGCTTCTCTTATTTGTTGTTTACAACAAAGATAAATTCAAATTAAATTCTGATGTCTATAACATGAATACTAGACAAAAATATAACTTCCACCTACCCTCATCAACTTTATCAGTATATCAAAAAGGAGTCTACTTTACTGGCATAAAAGTGTTCAACAATCTGCCACAAAGTATTAAAAACTTGGGCAATGATACTAAAAAGTTTAAATCAGAGTTAAAGAATTATCTACATGCTCATTCCTTCTACTCTTTAGATGAATACTTCAATGTAAATAGAGAATGATGTAAAATTAAGTTATATTAATTTTTAAGCTAAAATTGCCTGTACTTATGTATGCAACCTTTTGACTTGTTCTGTATCCAAAGGTACTAACCTGCTTAGGATTTATAGAATGTAAATAAATTCAATTCAATTCAATTTCATTTACGCTTACTGAATGACAAACATAACAGAAATTATATTATTCAATTTATGCATCATAATTTCATATACATTACTTTTAAACCCCAAGAAGAAAAGTGCATACATTTTATATGCAGTTGATAAGAGTGATATTCTTCGATAAATACTATTCAGGCTTATCACTCCTTTCGTAAACATGTACCTATAATAGTACAGTGTCTGGTTTATATCATTGAAAAGGAAAACTATGAAAGTTTCTTTTCATGCCTGGTTTACACGCATGCACCGTCACATTTCTGCCACCATGTTAGAAATCATCTGGACAGACAGATGGCTAGGAGATGGACTGGCAGAGGTGGACCAACTGCTTGGCCTCCTAGGGCACAAGATTTAACCCCACTGGACTTTATTCTTGTGGGGTTATATGAAGAACACTGTCTACTAGGTTAAGATCAACGACCTTCAACACCTGAAAGCCCACATAAAGGATGCTGTGGCTACGGTAACAACATGCTTCAAGCAATGTGGAACGAGGTTGAATATCATCTGGATATTTGTCGTGCTACCAAGGGAGCCCACGCTGAAATTTATTGAGAAAGTTATACATTCAGAAAAAAAACTTTTATAGTTTCCCTTTGTAATAGTGTAACCCATAAATGTAAATAAATGCTTTCTGAAATAAAATTATTCTATTTTGGATACCTTTCATCCTGACACCCTGTAGATATATCCCACTCATGTAGCAATTTTTCCTTTTCAATTTCAACTGCAATTAACATGCTTATGGGTTTAAAAACATAATGTTTCACCTCCTGTTTGGATCAAATGTGCCAGAACTCAATCAGTGCATGCCTATTCATATGGCACTAATGGCTCGGTTGTATGTGTGCCTAACATCTGTCACCCATGTACTCATACATTCAATAGCTCACAAGAGTAACCCTTCTGCTTGTTCAAAATATTGTAAGAATCTATAAGTAGATCAACACTCATTCTTTACCAAGTTACTTCTATGTTTACAATCCTTCTGAAACTCATTTATGCCTCTACATATAACCTTAACATTCTTGTTCTCATTGTGTGTGTGTGTGTTTTATTTCACTCTTACAACTACAAACCAAACACCATACAGTAAGTCATGTAATTTTGTCAAAACACAGTGGGAGCAAACAACGTACACATCTGGTTATTGCACTGTAAAGTTACATAAAACTGAGCAGTCAAATGCATCCAGAATTTAAAGAAGATTGGAAGTATAGTCTGCCAGTACTTACCACAATATTGGAGCGTGTATAGCCATTGCTATGCAACGATCACAATCAGGAACGTGCATTGCTTGGTAATGGCCACTAACCATGTCAACAATATCTGGGCTATCACTAGGCAACCGTCCATAACAACAATGGAAAAACTGTTGATAGCAGTGTTTTCTATTGGGTCTGCCTTGAGGTTATTTAACGTGGACCCCAGGCCAGCTGAGTGGAATTGAGAAAGCTTGGTTGCGGGATATTCGTTAGACATGAAAGCATCTGAGAGTGGGAAGCTGAAGAACCTCCACTGTTAGAAGCCACTGCTGAGGAACAGCTGATGAAGGTAATGCAGGCTAGAGAAGACTTAGTGCTTGCAGCAGTGATTTGTAAAGTGTGGTGATTTGCAGTGGCATTGTAATTGCTTGTAGTTCCAAATGGTGTGTATAAGTGGTCAATAAATACATTCACCAATCCAGATCCCATCTATAGTCACCCCCAAAATCATGACAGGAATTGGAATTTGAATACATCTGTACAAATGTTATCTATATAAGCTTCGCATGAGAGACATGAGGTTGGCTGGACAGCAACCAGTGATACAGTGAACCAACCTTTGCCATGAATTTGAAGCCCTTGTCACAGCGCAGTTTTGATTTCAACCGGTACAGCAGCCGAGACAAAGCTGCAGCTTCTACATGAAGAGCTCCCTGGTTGTTCAAAACTGAGATGGCATCTGAGCATACTGATGTAAATTCATCTGCATCTACAAAAATTTTAACAGTTTCAGTAATTGCTGAAAAGAAACTGCCCTCATAAAGAACCTCATGGATTCTGCACCTCCATCTTTTCCTTTCCAAGCGTGAGATAAAAATTTTGGACAGTCTATTTACTGGCACACTTTGGAAAACCAAAACATTTAATTTAATGTCCAATGTATTTGAGGCCATATGATAGTGACTAGTGCGCTAAGTGCTGTGGGACACATGCGAGTTTTGCTGATGACTCAGCATGCTTGATGGCAGATAACGTTTGAAATGAAGGAAAATAATTAACTTGTAGAACTCTACATGGCATTATACTCATGCATGGGAGTTTGCTTTATCTTGTCAGCAGTAGGCAGCAGTTATCAATGACATGAGCCATTTGTTCCTAGTTAACAGTTAGTCATCAGAGAGGCATGACATGGTTCGCAAAGTTTTAGAGCAGTGTTATTTTTGTATGACACCTACGTGAAATACAGATCTGCCAGAAAGTGCTGGAGAAAATTTCAACATAAATTTCGTGATGAAAGAGTTCCCAGCGGTCAAACAATTCATAATTTGGTGAATAAAGTTAGAACAATGGGACTTTTGATAGACAAGGAAGGAAAAACATAAGCACCAAGTGCTTACTGAGGAAAAGTTAGACAATATAGAGACCACACTTGAACATATACCTAGAAAAGCACTGAAACATCTAGCTCAGGAGACTGGAGTGTCAGAGTCTAGTGCAGGAATAGCAACACAATTGCTGAAGCCATCCAGTGAAAGTTATTGTCTGGTGTGCTGTAAGTGCAGGAAGGGTTGTTGTATGTGTGTTCTTTAATGAAACAGTTAATTGCGAAAGATCTGTACATGCAGAGGGACAGTGTTTTCAACACCTCCTGTGATCAGTGAAGAAAGGTAAGAACTTCCCTTCATTCCAAATGTTATTGCTATGCGTGCACTCTGTGGTCATCCGTGCTCCAGTAGTGGTGAAGCATAGAGCCGTGAACATGTCAAGTTCATTAAAAACCTCCCTGTACATTGGCACATATAATTACACACATATGAAATAAAGTTCATGCCTCCTCTAGAATGGGTACCAAGGAAGGTTTCTCCAAGGGCATGAAGCTGACCACTCACTTTCATCTAGTGCTGAGGTTAAGAATGGTGGAGCTATATCTCCACTCCCCATATGTTCCCATGTCCTGATGTTTAATAAATTAATTTAGCCCAGAGATAACTTTACCTTTTACTGGCATGGTATTAAGTTAAAAAATCTATAAGCTCATGCTGCCTGAAAACCTGTCAACAATCCAAATCCTGTAATTCTGAATGCAGGGTTGGATATAAGGTTGATAAACCAAGGTGGTCACACCAGGGCCTCCACAAAACAGAAATATTATCCACACAATTTACTGAGACATATGTGTCTCTCAAAACATTAAGTTATGTATTTTTATCTATGTTAAGATATAAGAGCAACAGCAATAAAGATATTGTCATAACATAAATTTGTTGTTACTGACAGAGGCCGTAATGTGCAAAGAAAAAGGGAAGCAAAGTGACAAGAAATGTGCTAAACAAATTAGAATTGTTTATGCTCTACCTAGCTTTTCTTCTTCCTAAATATCCAGCATTTTTACGCTTAATTTCATGTAAACATTACTGATTACAATTACGATATTTGGTATACTTACTAACATGTGACAGCCGGATTTCATAGGTTAGGTTTGGAGGAGGACGCAAATCTTTAATGTTCCAAATTGGTGTCATCATGAGTCTCTTCTTGTATTACAGATACCAGACTATTATACTCAGCACCACAGTACTAATTCTAATAAATGTATTTAATTCATATAACCTTTCAAATTTACGTCTCCTTTCTGACCCCGAACGCCCCGAACTACTAATTCGAAGTCACATTTCACATGTAGTGCACGTGTTCACTTTCATTTGACCAATCGTCTTTTATCAATGAATGTACGCTTGCATAGAAAAGTAATCGCACCGCGTTGTCACGGAAAAGTTACTTTTCCGTCATGTGGCAATAGCACATGTAAAGTATATTTATTAAATAGATGTAGCCGCAGTTAATAGGGGAAGTAAACCTTAAACCGAGAGTGAAAATAAGGCCGCGCTATAGCTCAAGTGGTTGGACATGTACACAATTTGTGTATGTAATTAAATATTATAGTATTGTTGACTTTTATACAAATAATTTGACTTGTTCTATATCTGGAGGCTGTACTGCAAAATGTGGATATCGGGAACCAATAAAAATATGAATATGAATATGGTTAGTCGCTGGCTTCTTTTTATTTGCGTCAATTAATGTTTGTGTTTTGTTCTTTGTGGTATCTGTATTATCACCCAGTAGAATCATATCATCGGCATAGGTCAACAGCTGATGTGTCCCGCTTAATTTCAGTCCCGCCTTTTTTCCCTGGACCTTCCTAATGGCATTTCCAAAGCAAAGTTGAAAAGGAGTGGCAATAAAGTATTCCCTTGTTTTAGACCATTCTGGACAGGACATTTATCAGACAAATGTTTACCTACACGGACTTTATTATACGTTTCGTTTAAACACATTTAATCAACCAAACTCGTTTCATGGGTATCCCAAAATCTATTAGAATATTTTACAATACATCCCTCCCCACTGAATCGAAGGCTTTCTTGAAGTCTATGAATAGCTGATGTACTGTCTCGTTGTACTCCCATTTTTTCTCCAATATCTGACGAATGCAAAAGATCTGATCTGTAGTAGATCTGTTACATAGAAACCCACACTGATGATCCCCAATAATTTCATCTATATATGGACTTAACCTTGAGAGAAAAATATTGGATAAAATTTTGTATGAAGTTGATAGCAGTGATAGTCCTCAATAATTACTACAGTCAGTTTTATCACCCTTTTTGTGAACTGGTACAATAATAGACTCCTTCCACTGATCAGGTAATTTTTCCTTATGCCAAATAGAAGTAATTAGCTTGTGGATCTTGAAACGTAATATTTCTCCTCCTGCTTGAATAAGGTCTGCCAGAATTTGATCACTACCGTTTCAATTTTGCAATAGCACTTTCAACCTCAGAAGGGCTAGGATCAGGTACTAAACGGCTCAGCTGTATGGATTTCTATATGCATAACATCACTGTACATTCAATAACTGAGAGAAGTAGTTCCTCCACCTGTTCAAAATGTGGGAATCTGCAAGCAGATCACTATTTTCATCCTTCACTAAGTTACTGCTAGGTTGGTAACCACTCTTAAAGTAATTTATTCCTCTATACAGGTCTCTAATGTTCTTGTTCTTATTATTCATTGCAAGCTCATAAATTCTGTCTTTCATATATTCCCTCCTTTTATTCCTGAAATGCCTGCTGGTTTCACGTCTTATGTTATTCAGATTATCCCCATTTAACTCGCTTGGATCCTGTAACCATTGCAATTTAGTCTGCTTTCTTTGGTCTAATAATTTTGAGCATCCTTCATTGAACCATGGCTTATTTTCTTCGGTTTATAATAACCTAGACTCTCTTTGGCAGACATTTTTATATTCTCTCTAATAGTTTCCCAAGCTTTATTAACATCCACCTCAGTGTCCAAGTTTTCCAAAGGTGTGAACCTATTTGAGATTTCAACACAATACTGCTCATTACCTTCTAACTCATTTAACTTCTTGAGATTGAACCTCCCCATATGAACTCTGTGTGTTGTTTGTTTGCTCACTGCCAGTCTTTCCCTAACCTTTGCCACCACCAGGTAGTGGTCAGTATCACAATCTCCTGCCCTGAATGACTGGACATCAGGTATACTTGAGTGCTGTCTCCTATCTATCAAAATATGGTCTATTTGATTATGTATCTTCCCATCAGGAGATGTCAAAGTAAATTTATGGATGTTACGCTGTGGGAACATTGTACTTTTGACAGTAAGATTTTTTGATATGGCATAGTTTACTACTCTAACTCCATTATCACTACTAATTTCTTGCAAACTCTCATTCCCATTCATTGGTTTGAAAAAGTCTTCCCTCCCTACTTTGGCATTGAAATCTCCTAACAAAATTTTCATAGGGTACTTTGGGAATTTATCAAATACATGTTCCAGTTCTTCATAGGATCTGTCCTTCATGTCATCAATTTTATCTTCTGTTGGGGTGTGAATATTCATAACAATGAATCACACCAGCGATCTTTTAGTATTATATAGGATATCATATCACTAACAAAGTTTACCCTCTTAAATGCTGATACGATTCTCTTATGTACAAAAAATCCTGTACTTAATTCATGACTTTCATTCCCCTTTCCACAGAAAAATGTATATTCTCCTGCTGGTGCGATGCCACCTCCGTCCCATCTGACCTCCTGTACTCCTGCTAAATCTAACTTTTATTTTAAGATTTCTTCTGCCACTGCCCTGAGTGAACCTGCCCTATACATACTTCTGACGTTCCAGGTACTGAATCTCATATCCATTTTCTTTAGCTGAGGTTGTTTATCCAGAGGATCCATCCAGGTCCGAGGCTTTGTGTTCATTTTCGTAACATGATTATTTTTTATGGTGAGGAGTTCTTAGCCCCACACCCAACAACCAAGCTGGAGGACCACCGCTTGTTGGCTGTCGCGACTCCATGTTCAATATATTCACAGCTTCCCTCCAAAACTGGAGGGCATCTCCTCCATCCGCAACCTGAGGATGTGCCATGCTGTGGTGACAAGGAACCCACCTAACATGGAACCTATACAGAACATTAAGTTTAATGCTAGTAACACTACCCTTTGGTGTTACCGAAAATGATGTGGACTATGTCTGTGAACTGTACATTTGATCCTATTTAAAGAACTAACACTGTGATAGTGGTACATTATTTTTATTTATATTATAATGGAAAAACAAAAAAGAAAAAAAAAGGGAATACTACTTCAATATTGTGACATATGACATCGCAGTGACCCTCGTCTCTGCAAGGGATCAAAACCTGATTTCTCATTCATACTAGTCACTATACTGATTAAGCTATCCTGGCTCTCCATTTGGTAGAGTACACAGATAAAACACTGCCATTAGAGGCTACTAGTAAACTTCACCGCCCATGTTTCTTTTAAACCCAAGGAAACTTCTCTGGCATTTACTGGACAGTAGGTTGGATAGGCACTAAAGCGCCCTGAATATGGTGACAAAAGAAAAATTCTGTGCCCATGTAGGGATTTAAACTACAGTTGTGTAATCCAGATCCAGCCATGTGTTGAGCGAAATATTCTGGCTCTTGCTGTCAGGCTAAGAACTTGAAAATTGGTTATTTAAGAACACTGTATTGTCTACAGAAATTATTTAGCACTGACTGATATGAAACAGTTATCAGTGGTGGACTAGAAAGAATGGAGCAGTATATGTTATATCTGGCCATGTCATCCTGGTAGGGCCAGATTTGAAGGGTGTGACCAGGATGGTCTCCTTGGGGCTTACATAAAAGAGAAACAGGAAGCACAGATTTCAATGAGATATCTGGTTCTCTAAAACTGTGAACATTTTGTTTGTATTTTTAGATGTTACAGGAAATAAGAAAATATGTGATAATTAAATTGGCTGTTACTGATAGGGGCCCCCACAACTGTAAATTCAGCACTGTATCCCAGCATAAGTCTGGAAGTTTTGAGGAAAATCGTGACACTTCCCACAGTCAGGATGAACAGCTCCATCTTCCACTTAAACCACAACATCCAATTTTACTTGTTAATATCAGTTAAATTTATTTAACTCTTTATCTTTCATAATTTATATAACTACACTTATATACACAATTTATATATATACAATTTTATATATATACACATAGCACACAATTAATGACAGCATCATTACTTATTACTTTATCAACAGCAGCAGGTGCACATTTGCTCTTCTTTAACAAAGAATCCTCCATATATTTTCTTTTCAAAACAGCGAAAATATTATTTCACCAAACTTGACATAAATTACTGGCATTTTGTGTTACTTGTACCCTAAGTTTGCTCTCATATAGAATTTTACTTTAATCTTAACAATAGCAATTAATGATAATGTGCATAAAGAATAATGTGTTCTTCAAAGTAAAACACAGTGAGTTGAACGAAACATATTCCTCTAACTAGCTTTGTTGTTTTTTTTAAGCAGGTTTCAATGCTTTGTAATACTTGGAATTTATTGAACTTCAGCAAGCATGACACAACTTTGTAAATATGGAAAAAACCAGGCAGCCTCATTCCTATTGTTCAGGGTCCATATCAAGCTGCAGGTCTCCTCTGCTGGTCATCATCACTGCCATTACTCTGTCACTGGGAGTGACTGGAATCCTACCCTGTTGTCCTCTCTTACCTCAGAAAGAGACTGCCATCTTTGCCAGGTGCATGGATGCCAGAGAGATCAGAAGGCGAAGGACCTTAAGGTACCCCATTAATCATTTGAAGCAGTGTACATACTGAACCTACAGAACACTATGGTGATAGCTAAGATAAGCGTTAATATTAATGCTTGTTATTAAGGCTCTTCAGAATTGAAGTGTTTTTTTGTTGAAGGTTCTCAGGAATCATACAATGAGGTAACAAGTAATAGCACTCTTGCAAAACATCAGTAATTTGAATAAAGTTTGGAGAAAAGGGACATTTATGAGGATTCACCAGGAAATAAGACAAACGTGTGGGACACCATGAACCAAACCTGCTGTTATTATGAAGCAACAAAATGTAAGCATAATTAAGTTTCATTGAGCCTCTTTCATCAAGCTCCGTCTCAGCACCTTGGATTTCTGAAACAAAGAATATGCAAGTATTACACTCTTTGGGCTTGGTTCATTAGGCTTTCGAGTAAGCACAGAGAATATAAGATTCTGGTTGTAAGTTCATTTAATGACGCTTTCCCAGCTGCAAAGGTTTTATAGCATAAAACTGGAGAATGAGGAAGGAATTTATCATAATCCAGTTTATAATGTTGCATTCTGTTTCTGCAAAACTTATAAATGATTTTTTTTTATTTGTTTCATTCTGGTCTGTCACACCAACAATTACAAAGACAAAAATAACACCGTCTAATGTGACTATTTAAGTTTTATCATTTGAAGACTCATCACCCTTACATGTTTCGATGAGTCTTCAAATGATAAAACTTAAATAGTCACATTAGACGGTGTTATTTTTGTCTTTGTAATTGTCTTTGATATAAATGATTACTGTATATTGTCAAACAAACTCTGTTTCTGAAGATATAATCAGTTCTACAACGTTTTTCAGTCACACAACCATCATCAGGTGAACTCAGTTTGACAATGATTATGTGACCAAAACATGTTATGGAACTGACTGCATCTTATAGTTTATATGATGATATACAGTGATCATGCATGACCAACTTTAGCTTTCTGGCTCTTCAAACATCTAGCATGTTTCCCTTTTGACTGTGAGAACTGTATGAATCTGGCACTGCTATGTTTCACGCACTTTTCTTAGGTGCTTTCACATCCCCCCAGATCATCGGTCTGTAATCATGAAGTATCCTGAGAACTGCTGAATGGGTTTTCATTAAATTAAACATGAGGGATGAAAGGCATCAGAATTGTTAGATTATGCATACATTTCCAAACTGGGACCTCTTGAATATGAAGCAGGAGTGCCAGGCAGTCAAGCATGACATTTGGTAAGACTTTTGCTCAATTTGCAGCTAGTTTTACAATATTTTCACTTGAACCAAACTGATAATCAGTCATCACAAGAGTTTTATGCAAACCTAACCTGTAATAGTTAAAAATGTACTGCCCAGGAGAATCCTGTCTAAGATATTTAAATTGGTAACTTGATTGTGAATGTGTATGAAATCATTACCAAGCTTGTCTCCTGTAACTAAGTATAGAGTGATGGGCATTACTAGCTTACCAGGAGATGATACTAGTAGTCTAGCACGTGAGCTAAACACATGCACAGTAAGATACTTGGATTCAGACCCAACTGGAGACAAGTATGGCTAGTTTTCATCTTAGTCAGTATAAACAATTCATCCATTAAAATATAATGAATTTAAAATTACTTACAAGACCACCTTCCTCTCTCTTTGACTTCTGAATATCCAGTTTCTTCTCTTGTATTCTCTTGGCCTCTTGTGTTCTAAAAATGGAAAAAAATTTATGATATGTAAGTTGGCAGCACTTTGATTAAGATGGGAACATTTAAAGGAAAGAACTCATCATGAATTACTTTCAAAATTAATTACTGGCTGACCACCTGATAAATCCAACTATATGCCAACTAATGAATCTGCAGCTGACCAACCCGGACTCCTATAAATGGACTTGCACACTACCTAAATAACAGCTAATTAACCTAACAACCAACCATATAAACAGACTGATGTAACTACTTACCAAGTGATCAATGGACCAACAAACTCATGTTCACATCATATATATATCATTCAGCCAACAGCTGATGAACCTTATTAACTGAGAAACACAGTGAGTAGGTTTACAGAGCACTAATACACTAGATTTGTACTCAAGTGGCACTTGGTTTTGCTCTTTACCAGGATACCCGGAATACTGGCTATCCTGACTAAAGTTTTCATGATATTTCTCAGTAAATTCAAGGGTGGTACCTCAAACAGACCATGACCACTTCCTTCCAAATCGTCCCCAGTTTATCACTCACCAGCCGTTTGATGCTATATTGTCTGAGATGGTGACAGCATCACAAAAGAAACTAAAAATGTTTAGAAACAGATCAACCAACCTGTGAGTACTTATGAACTCATTGATAAGAGATTGACTGCTTTGTGAGTGATAACTTTGCAGGAGGTTTTGCATCAGAATTCTGATTCAAATGCACTTGTTTGCCCCTTCCAGTCTACTGCTGAGCGCCACTCTTTCCTCTAAATTAACCTTTAAGTGCCGAAGTGCCCCGTTTGTGCCAGTCATGAGTAAGGTCGTCATGGCCAAAGTGCCCCGTTTGTGCCAGTCAAGCATTTAAACTCCGCTAGTGGAAGCGCGCGCACACGCCACTAGTGGAAGCACATGCACAGTCCTAACTATTTATTTTTAAATGTAGTAATTACCAGACAGACTTGAGTAAAACCCTAATAGAGGAATTAAATTGATA